GCCCTACGAGTATGAGCTGTGCTTTGGATAGCCCTGATCTATTGCATAAATTAGATTTTCTTTGTAACTTTCACTCAAAGTAGCCATATTTTCTGGCATGTGTGTTCTTTATAGATATCTAGACCTTAGCACATCTACTACAGATCCAGTTCATATAAATTTCTTTACAGTTTTGACTATAGTGTGTGCAGATGAACGATCAAGTCGATCATAATCTCTCTTGATGCACCAAATTGACCTATTATAGAATCATTATTTATGTAGTTTTTTCATAATTTAAATAATTCTATTGGTAATTAAATGATCTATTTTAAAAAATATAAAGTTTTAAACAAAATTCGTATTGCTTTAGATGATAGAATTGTTTGATTATATATATTAATGAAACAGTAGACCAAATATAAACCATAAATTAAATAACACTTAATTAATGAATCGACTGTATGTTATAGTACCACACCTATCAATGTCGTACACCTATTTTATTACACCTATGTAATGAAATTAAATAAATTCTTTGCTTGTTAGTTACTATATATTTATAGTTGGATTCGAAATATATGAAAATGAGAATAAATAAAAAATACAAATACAAATTTAATTTAATTTGCAGTTTTTTATTTGCCAACTATTTTGTTGAAGTCAAGTAATGTAATTTGAATATTTAATGTGTAATTTAATTTAATTGAAGTTTGTTTTTAAAATTAAATTAAAAATAAGTACATACTTCAATAAATTACATTTCATATTGTTTCGAGAATTTATGAATTTATTAATTCTTTGATTACAGTGTTTAAAAGTCTTTAAATTGAGAGCTATTCTATTGAAATGCAAATTACGGTACACAAAAGTTCAATGAAATATTTTTCACATCAATTAATTATATATTTTCATATAATTTATTTCACTTTCAGTAAAATCCACTTTATATTTACAATGTTAAATATTTCATCCACTTTTAAGTCATTGGTCTTTTTATATGCAATTGGCCTATATGCAAAATTATAATAAATTCAATAAACTTGATAATGAAAATTGATATATCGAAGTTATTACTCATTTTAATATAATAACA